CCCCCCCTTTTTATTCGTAGCATCGGATTACAGTGATCACTTGCGCAACCCTGTCCGGTTTCCCTTGTGGCGTTGGCAGCTCCGATCGATGGTATCGGACTGGACGGACGGCGTCGCCCCATCCGAGGACTACAAGAAGTACAAGAGGGCGCAGGGGAGGGTAGAGGCGAAGGGGGCTCCGCGGAGAGTGGTGGGCCCTAGCTCGACACAACTGCAGCTTGTGAGGGCGATGGTGCGGGCCATCTACGACGAGAACAGCGAGCTCAGGCAGAGCAGGTAGGGCTGCGGTACTGTATGGCGTGGTATGGTATGGTGTGGTATTGCAAAGCGGATGAGTAGTAAATAATTGCCTCGGCTTGTCTTGGCATTCGGGCGGTGGTGCTTCCGCTATGGTCTCTCCGGCAGCTTGGTGCCTCCAGTTTTCCTGCCAGCGGGTAGCAAGAGCGGTTACATGTACCGTTGGCCTCATCAGAATACCGCCTCGATATGGTTTGGGGACTTGCGTCTTCTCCGACAACGAAATGATTCATTTTCGCCACTTACTCCAATGTTGCCCCAGTGAATGTTAGAACACACCTCTTGCGCCCATCCAAAACGCCGGACAATGGAGAAGCCCCCTAGCGCGCGCCCGATCCCCGCCGCCGCGTGCTCGTACGCTGCGCGGCACGCGTTCTCCTCGCTGAAGTGTCGTTCTGTTGTTTGGTGATGGCCTGCTTTGCAGCGGCGTTTTGGGCAGAGAGGACCTCAAGAGGGAAGACCTAGAGCTTCTGAGGACCTACTACGAGCAGTCGTTCGGCTTCCCCTACCTCTTGGACTTGGGTGGCACCATCCGGTCGTCGACCGACCTGGGGGACCTCTGGTATGGAAAAGAAGGGGGCCGTGTGTGTGTGCTGTGGAGCACACATGTTGTCAGGTTGTTGTTGTTGTTGTTGTTGTTGCGGCGGTTACCCGGTGTTGTAGATATATGCATAAAAAGTACCTCTGAAAACATCGATCATAGAGTACACGTATCGTGAAATTGGGGGACGGGTCGCCGTCGAGACATGGCGAGTAAGTTGCGAGAATTTGTGACCACCGCCTTCCCTCGATTGCGTTGTTTTTTATTAGTATATCGTGTAATCGAAGTGAAGCTCGTCCTCACGTCATTGGTGACCCTTTGTAAGAGGAAGTAATGCCTGGACAGCAGTGCTTCGGATGGCTAAACGTCCATCAGCAACAGCAATCTGTGCTTCGCATGCGGAATGCGGTAGGCTTAGCCAAACGGTGCAGCTCGAACCGCGTGTGTGTCCTGCTATATTAATTTCTCAACACCTACTTGTGCCCTCTTGTTCTGTTGGCCGCGGTACGAAATTCAAGGTACCGAGAGTACCACCTCGAGCTAACGAAGGAGATACAGTTCCCCATAGAGATGTCCTTCCCCTGGATCATCACGGAGCACATCGTCAAGACCAAGCGCGCCATGGCCATCGGCTCTGCCTCCGGCGACGGGCCCCGCCCTGGCGGGGCGGGGGGGGGCGAAGGAAGGGGTACCGCGGGAAAGGGCGAAGGGATAGCAGGGGACCCAGACAGCTCGATGACGGGGTACGGCGGCGGCGGCGGCGGCAAGAAGACCAAGAAGAAAGGGAAGGGGGGCAGCGGGGGGGGGATGGGGCACGTTCTGGTGGAGGAGGTGCTGTGGGCGCTTGATTTGTACAACGACGCGGCACACCGGGCGCTGTACGTGCTCAACAGCCAGTACCTCTTCAACGAGATTCAAGTGAGACAAAAATGGACGCCTTTTTTGTTTTCCTTGTTTTCTTTAATTTTCGTTTCGTGTGCATCGAGAAGTATGTCGTCGAAGCTTCTCGGGAAGCTGGATTTTAGCGTGTTTTGCTGGACGACGTCGGGCCTGAAATTCTTCAGAAACATTATCGGGGTAATGCGTTTTTTTTTTTTGCGAAGCGAGGCTCCAGAATTCTGTCCCGTGCGGAATGGTATGCAGTTGTGGCCGAGATGTCTCGCTACTACATGTGTCCCAGTGCCGTGCTGTGATGTATGCATACGGTGGAGTCTCCTTCGAGGCCTTTTTGTTATTGTTGGTGTGGTAATGTTATCCCTAGCCGCTGTGGTGTAGCCATCAGTCTGGCGACTTGGCGCGGCTTTGATTGCCGCGTCGTACGACGCGACAGGCGGAGAGTGGGTGAATCTAACACCCCGTGCGGCTTGACAGTACTACATTCCAGTCATTCATTCATTTTTTGCGCACGTTGTTGATGACGATGTAGCTAGCGCGAGCGACAGAGCTGATGCGATGCTCTTCCTCGCGTACGTTCAGGCGGAGGTGAACCTTGTGTTCAAGCAGCTGCTCTTCGACCTGGAGGCTGAGGTTTTCGGATACTTCAAGGACTGGGCGGCGTCGACGGTGCTGGACAAGGCCTTTAAGAAGGTCTACGAAATCAGGAGGGGATTGGGGCATTTCATCCCCGGGCGACGGCGTTACGAGGTACAGCTTACAGCAGTGTGCACACACTTGATTTTGTCTTGGATGCTGCTGCTGCTGCTGCTGCTGCTGCTTCGGTGTGTTCCGCGTGATTTACCGTGCCTCATGCGCTGGTGTTTTTGTCGTCCGTCGATTGATTTCTGGTGGGCGTCAAGCTAGTCCTGTGGTACAGGTTTTGGCCGCACGTTTATCTTAGATTTAGAGTAAGAGTCAGAGTCAGAGTCAGGGCTTGCTATTGTATTGTATTGTATTGTAGCTCTTCGTCCAATGCGGCGCACACGTGGTAGCCACGAAATTATGGGTCTTGCGCTGGCTATGGGCCCGTCGTAATCCATAAAACAAATGTCGCCGACTACTAGCGCACCATCTCTCTGTGGAACATGACCCACATGAGTGTGCGATGCCTTGCAAGTGAGGTGTTTTCTACCCCCGTGTTTGTGATGTACTTCAGTTTGGGATGACATATGTCGCCCGTGTTTTTTATTTTGTTTCTGCTATCTCGGAGGGTATGCACATTCATACCTTGTATGCTGTTGAGGCGTACAGCTTTTGATTGGGACACACACCTGTACACGGACAATGATGCCATACAATTCTTCCTCTTTTTTTTTTTTTTCTCCGCAGACGCCAGTTCAGCAGAGACATGTGCAGCTCTTGGGGCGATCGGTAGACTTGAGCCACAGAGTGTCCGGCGCCATGAACGTCAAGATTGGGGAGGTGAGGAGAAGAGGGTGTGAGGGGGGG